ATAAGAAATGAATATTGATGAGAAACAAAATGCTGAGAGGAAGAGTGTGAATAAAAGAAAGTTAGAGAATCTCCTATCAGTATGCAAAGGCGAGCTCACAGCAAATCAATCAACACAAATAATTATTACCATCACAAAGGAGTGCATTGGTGCTGTTGATTATGAAGCCAGACTCGCAGCTGCAGCTAAAGCTGCCAATGGTGTTGTTGCAGATTTGTTGGCAGGATGATGCATTTGTTGCACATTCATCAATGTCTGGGAAAAGGATTGAACATTCTCATTACAACAGCAATGTTTGCAAAGTCAGAAAATGCAACAGGTATTGACTGCATTTTTATTTCTGATGCGAAGGTATCATAATTTGAATGCCAATAAGAAATTAATGATGATGAGCCACAAAATGAGAGGAGAGAGTGTGAATCAGAGAAATTTGGAGCATATCCTGTCAGTATACAAGGTGGAGATCACGGCAAATGAATCAAAACAATTAATTCATACCATCACAAAGGAATGCATTGGTGCTGTTGATTGTGTAGCCAGATTCACAGCTGCAGCTAAAGCTGCCATTGGTGTTTTTGCAGATTTGTTGGCAGGATGAAGCATTTCTTGCACATTCATCAATGTCTGAGAGATGAAATGAAGATGTTCATCAGAAGAACAGAAGTTTGCAACGTCAGAAAATGCAATACGAATTCAGGGCACTTTTACTTCGGAGGTGAAAGTAGAAAAATGTAATGTCAATAAGAATTAATATTGATCAGAGACAAAGTATTGAGATGAACATGTGTAATTGAAGGAAAGTTAGAGCTATCCTAACCGTTCTCAAAGCGAAGCTCACAGCAAATGAATCATCAAAAAAATCATACCATTGCAAAGGAATGCATTGATACTGTTGATTGTGTAGCCAGAATCGCAGCTGCAGCTGTAGCTGCCAATGGTGTTGTTGCAGATTTGTTGGCAGAATGATGTATTTGTTGCACATTCATCGATGTCTGGGAAAAGAATTGAACGTTCTCATTACAACAGCAATGTTTGCAAAGTCAGAAAACCCAACACGAATTGAGGGCAATTTTATTCCTACGTTGAATTTACGATAATTTCAATGTGAATAAGAAATGAATATTGATGAGAAACAAAATGCTGAGAGGAGAGAGTGTGAATAAAAGAAAGTTAGAGAATGTCCTATCAGTATGCAAAGGCGAGCTCACAGCAAATCAATCAACACAAATAATTATTACCATCACAAAGGAGTGCATTGGTGCTGTTGATTATGAAGCCAGACTCGCAGCTGCAGCTATAGCTGCCAATGGTGTTGTTGCAGATTTGTTGGCAGGATGATGCATTTGTTGCACATTCATCAATGTCTGGGAAAAGGATTGAACATTCTCATTACAACAGCAATGTTTGCAAAGTTAGAAAATGCAACACGTATTGACTGTATTTTTATTTCTGATCTAAATTTACAATAATTTGAATGTCAATAGGAAATTAAAGTTGATGAGACACAAAATGATGAGAGGAGAGAGTATCAACAAATTAAAGTTAGAGAATGTCCTATTAGTATACAAGTGTGAGCTTACAGCAAATGAATCAAAACAAATAATTCATACCATCACAAAGGAATGCATTGGTGCTGTTGATTGTGTAGCCAGATTCGCAGCTGCAGCTAAAGCTGCCATTGGTGTTTTTGCAGATTTGTTGGCAGGATGAAGCATTTGTTGCACATTCATCAATGTCTGAGAAATGAAATGAAGATGTTCATCAGAAGAACAGAAGTTTGCAACGTCAGAAAATGCAATACGAATTCAGGGCATTTTTACTTCGGAGGTGAAAGTAGAAAAATTTAATGTCAATAAGAATTAATATTGATCAGAGACAAAATATTGAGAGGAACATGTGTAATTGAAGGAAAGTTAGAGCTATCCTAACCGTTCTCAAAGGGAAACTCACAGCAAATGAATCATCAAAAAAATCATACCATTGCAAAGGAATGCATTGATAATGTTGATTGTGTATCCAGACTCGCAGCTGCAGCTATAGCTGCCAATGGTGTTGTTGCAGATTTGTTGGCAGGATGATGTATTTGTTGCACATTCATCGATGTCTGGGAAAAGAATTGAACGTTCTCATTACAACATTACAACAGCAATGTTTGCAAAGTCAGAAAACCCAACACAATTGAGGGCAATTTTATTCCTACGTTGAATTTACGATAATTTGAATGTGAATAAGAAATGAATATTGATGAGACACAAAATGCTGAGAGGAGACCGTGTGAATAAAGAAAGTTAGAGAATGTCCTGTCAGTATGCAAAGGCGAGCTCACAGCAAATCAATCAACACAAATAATTATTACCATCACAAAGGAGTGCATTGGTGCTGTTGATTATGAAGCCAGATTCACAGCTGCAGCTAAAGCTGCCATTGGTGTTTTTGCAGATTTGTTGGCAGGATGAAGCATTTCTTGCACATTCATCAATGTCTGAGAGATGAAATGAAGATGTTCATCAGAAGAACAGAAGTTTGCAACGTCAGAAAATGCAATACGAATTCAGGGCACTTTTACTTCGGAGGTGAAAGTAGAAAAATGTAATGTCAATAAGAATTAATATTGATCAGAGACAAAGTATTGAGAGGAACATGTGTAATTGAAGGAAAGTTAGAGCTATCCTAACCGTTCTCGAAGCGAAGCTCACAGCAAATGAATCATCAAAAAAAATCATACCATTGCAAAGGAATGCATTGATACTGTTGATTGTGTAGCCAGAATCGCAGCTGCAGCTGTAGCTGCCAATGGTGTTGTTGCAGATTTGTTGGCAGAATGATGTATTTGTTGCACATTCGTCGATGTCTGGAAGAAGAATTGAACGTTCTCATTACAACAGCAATGTTTGCAAAGTCAGAAAACCCAATACGAATTGAGGGCAATTTTATTCCTACGTTGAATTTACGATCAATTCAATGTGAATAAGAAATGAATATTGATGAGAAACAAAATGCTGAGAGGAGAGAGTGTGAATAAAAGAAAGTTAGAGAATGTCCTATCAGTATGCAAAGGTGAGCTCACAGCAAATCAATCAACACAAATAATTATTACCATCACAAAGGAGTGCATTGGTGCTGTTGATTGTGTAGCCAGATTCGCAGCTGCAGCTATAGCTGCCAATGGTGTTGTTGCAGATTTGTTGGCAGGATGATGCATTTGTTGCACATTCATCAATGTCTGGGAAAAGGATTGAACATTCTCATTACAACAGCAATGTTTGCAAAGTCAGAAAATGCAACACGTATTGACTGCATTTTTATTTCTGATGCGAAGGTATAATAATTTGAATGCCAATAAGAAATTAATGATGATGAGCCACAAAATGACAAGAGGAGAGAGTGTGAATCAGAGAAATTTAGAGCATATCCTGTCAGTATACAAGGTGGAGATCACGGCAAATGAATCAAAACAATTAATTCATACCATCACAAAGGAATGCATTGGTGCTGTTGATTGTGTAGCCTGATTCGCAGCTGCAGCTAAAGCTGCCATTGGTGTTTTTGCAGATTTGTTGGCAGGATGAAGCATTTGTTGCACATTCATCAATGTCTGAGAGATGAAATGAAGATGTTCATCAGAAGAACAGAAGTTTGCAACGTCAGAAAATGCAATACGAATTCAGGGCACTTTTACTTCGGAGGTGAAAGTAGAAAAATGTAATGTCAATAAGAATTAATATTGATCAGAGACAAAATATTGAGAGGAACATGTGTAATTGAAGGAAAGTTAGAGCTATCCTAACCGTTCTCAAAGGGAAACTCACAGCAAATGAATCATCAAAAAAATCATACCATTGCAAAGGAATGCATTGATAATGTTGATTATGAAGCCAGACTCGCAGCTGCAGCGAAAGCTGCCAATGGTGTTGTTGCAGATTTGTTGGCAGGATGATGCATTTGTTGCACATTCATCAATGTCTGGGAAAAGGATTGAACATTCTCATTACAACAGCAATGTTTGCAAAGTCAGAAAATGCAACAGGTATTGACTGCATTTTTATTTCTGATGCGAAGGTATCATAATTTGAATGCCAATAAGAAATTAATGATCATGAGCCACAAAATGATGAGAGCAGAGAGTGTGAATCAGAGAAATTTGGAGCATATCCTGTCAGTATAAAAGGTGGACATCACGGCAAATGAATCAAAACAATTAATTCATACCATCACAAAGGAATGCATTGGTGCTGTTGATTGTGTAGCCAGATTCACAGCTGCAGCTAAAGCTGCCATTGGTGTTTTTGCAGATTTGTTGGCAGGATGAAGCATTTCTTGCACATTCATCAATGTCTGAGAGATGAAATGAAGATGTTCATCAGAAGAACAGAAGTTTGCTACGTCAGAAAATGCAATACGAATTCAGGGCACTTTTACTTCGGAGGTGAAAGTAGAAAAATGTAATGTCAATAAGAATTAATATTGATCAGAGACAAAGTATTGAGATGAACATGTGTAATTGAAGGAAAGTTAGAGCTATCCTAACCGTTCTCAAAGCGAAGCTCACAGCAAATGAATCATCAAAAAAATCATACCATTGCAAAGGAATGCATTGATACTGTTGATTGTGTAGCCAGAATCGCAGCTGCAGCTGTAGCTGCCAATGGTGTTGTTGCAGATTTGTTGGCAGAATGATGTATTTGTTGCACATTCATCGATGTCTGGGAAAAGAATTGAACATTCTCATTACAACAGCAATGTTTGCAAAGTCAGAAAACCCAACACGAATTGAGGGCAATTTTATTCCTACGTTGAATTTACGATAAATTCAATGTGAATAAGAAATGAATATTGATGAGAAACAAAATGCTGAGAGGAGAGAGTGTGAATAAAAGAAAGTTAGAGAATGTCCTATCAGTATGCAAAGGCGAGCTCACAGCAAATCAATCAACACAAATAATTATTACCATCACAAAGGAGTGCATTGGTGCTGTTGATTATGAAGCCACAATCGCAGCTGCAGCTATAGCTGCCAATGTTGTTGTTGCAGATTTGTTGGCAGGATGATGCATTTGTTGCACATTCATCAATGTCTGGGAAAAGGATTGAACATTCTCATTACAACAGCAATGTTTGCAAAGTCAGAAAATGCAACACGTATTGACTGCATTTTTATTTCTAATGTGAATTTACAATAATTTGAATGTCAATATGAAATTAAAGTTGATGAGACACAAAATGATGAGAGGAGAGAGTATGAACAAAATAAAGTTAGAGAATGTCCTATTAGTATACAAGTGTGAGCTTACAGCAAATGAATCAAAACAAATAATTCATACCATCACAAAGGAATGCATTGGTGCTGTTGATTGTGTAGCCAGATTCGCAGCTGCAGCTAAAGCTGCCATTGGTGTTTTTGCAGATTTGTTGGCAGGATGAAGCATTTGTTGCACATTCATCAATGTCTGAGAAATGAAATGAAGATGTTCATCAGAAGAACAGAAGTTTGCAACGTCAGAAAATGCAACACGAATTCAGGGCATTTTTACTTCGGAGGTGAAAGTAGAAAAATTTAATGTCAATAAGAATTAATATTGATCAGAGACAAAGTATTGACAGAACATGTGTAATTGAAGGAATGTTAGTGCAATCCTAACCGCTCTCAAAGGGAAACTCACAGCAAATGAATCAACAAAATAAATCATACCGTCGCAAAGGAATGCATTGGTACTGTTGATTGTGTATCCAGACTCGCAGCTGCAGCTATAGCTGCCAATGGTGTTGTTGCAGATTTGTTGGCAGGAAGATGTATTTGTTGCACATTCATCGATGTCTGGGAAAAGAATTGAACATTCTCATTGCAACAGCAATGTTTGCAAAGTCAGAAAATCCCAACACGAATTGAGGGCAATTTTATTCCTACGTTGAATTTACGATAATTTGAATGTGAATAAGAAATGAATATTGATGAGACACAAAATGCTGAGAGGAGGAGTGTGAATAAAAGAAAGTTAGAGAATGTCCTATCAGTATGCAAAGGCGAGCTCACAGCAAATCAATCAACACAAATAATTATTACCATCACAAAGGAGTGCATTGGTGCTGTTGATTATGAAGCCAGATTCACAGCTGCAGCTAAAGCTGCCATTGGTGTTTTTGCAGATTTGTTGGCAGGATGAAGCATTTCTTGCACATTCATCAATGTCTGAGAGATGAAATGAAGATGTTCATCAGAAGAACAGAAGTTTGCAACGTCAGAAAATGCAATACGAATTCAGGGCACTTTTACTTCGGAGGTGAAAGTAGAAAAATGTAATGTCAATAAGAATTAATATTGATCAGAGACAAAGTATTGAGAGGAACATGTGTAATTGAAGGAAAGTTAGAGCTATCCTAACCGTTCTCGAAGCGAAGCTCACAGCAAATGAATCATCAAAAAAAATCATACCATTGCAAAGGAATGCATTGATACTGTTGATTGTGTAGCCAGAATCGCAGCTGCAGCTGTAGCTGCCAATGGTGTTGTTGCAGATTTGTTGGCAGAATGATGTATTTGTTGCACATTCGTCGATGTCTGGAAGAAGAATTGAACGTTCTCATTACAACAGCAATGTTTGCAACGTCAGAAAACCCAATACGAATTGAGGGCAATTTTATTCCTACGTTGAATTTACGATCAATTCAATGTGAATAAGAAATGAATATTGATGAGAAACAAAATGCTGAGAGGAAGAGTGTGAATAAAAGAAAGTTAGAGAATCTCCTATCAGTATGCAAAGGCGAGCTCACAGCAAATCAATCAACACAAATAATTATTACCATCACAAAGGAGTGCATTGGTGCTGTTGATTATGAAGCCAGACTCGCAGCTGCAGCGAAAGCTGCCAATGGTGTTGTTGCAGATTTGTTGGCAGGATGATGCATTTGTTGCACATTCATCAATGTCTGGGAAAAGGATTGAACATTCTCATTACAACAGCAATGTTTGCAAAGTCAGAAAATGCAACAGGTATTGACTGCATTTTTATTTCTGATGCGAAGGTATCATAATTTGAATGCCAATAAGAAATTAATGATCATGAGCCACAAAATGATGAGAGCAGAGAGTGTGAATCAGAGAAATTTGGAGCATATCCTGTCAGTATAAAAGGTGGACATCACGGCAAATGAATCAAAACAATTAATTCATACCATCACAAAGGAATGCATTGGTGCTGTTGATTGTGTAGCCAGATTCACAGCTGCAGCTAAAGCTGCCATTGGTGTTTTTGCAGATTTGTTGGCAGGATGAAGCATTTCTTGCACATTCATCAATGTCTGAGAGATGAAATGAAGATGTTCATCAGAAGAACAGAAGTTTGCTACGTCAGAAAATGCAATACGAATTCAGGGCACTTTTACTTCGGAGGTGAAAGTAGAAAAATGTAATGTCAATAAGAATTAATATTGATCAGAGACAAAGTATTGAGATGAACATGTGTAATTGAAGGAAAGTTAGAGCTATCCTAACCGTTCTCAAAGCGAAGCTCACAGCAAATGAATCATCAAAAAAAATCATACCATTGCAAAGGAATGCATTGATACTGTTGATTGTGTAGCCAGAATCGCAGCTGCAGCTGTAGCTGCCAATGGTGTTGTTGCAGATTTGTTGGCAGAATGATGTGTTTGTTGCACATTCATCGATGTCTGGGAAAAGAATTGAACGTTCTCATTACAACAGCAATGTTTGCAATATCAGAAAACCCAACACCAATTGAGGGCAATTTTATTCCTACGTTGAATTTACGATAATTTCAATGTGAATAAGAAATGAATATTGATGAGAAACAAAATGCTGAGAGGAGAGAGTGTGAATAAAAGAAAGTTAGAGAATGTCCTATCAGTATGCAAAGGCGAGCTCACAGCAAATCAATCAACACAAATAATTATTACCATCACAAAGGAGTGCATTGGTGCTGTTGATTATGAAGCCAGACTCGCAGCTGCAGCTATAGCTGCCAATGGTGTTGTTGCAGATTTGTTGGCAGGATGATGCATTTGTTGCACATTCATCAATGTCTGGGAAAAGGATTGAACATTCTCATTACAACAGCAATGTTTGCAAAGTTAGAAAATGCAACACGTATTGACTGTATTTTTATTTCTGATCTAAATTTACAATAATTTGAATGTCAATAGGAAATTAAAGTTGATGAGACACAAAATGTTGAGAGGAGAGAGTATCAACAAATTAAAGTTAGAGAATGTCCTATTAGTATACAAGTGTGAGCTTACAGCAAATGAATCAAAACAAATAATTCATACCATCACAAAGGAATGCATTGGTGCTGTTGATCGTGTAGCCAGATTCGCAGCTGCAGCTAAAGCTGCCATTGGTGTTTTTGCAGATTTGTTGGCAGGATGAAGCATTTGTTGCACATTCATCAATGTCTGAGAAATGAAATGAAGATGTTCATCACAAGAACAGAAGTTTGCAACGTCAGAAAATGCAATACGAATTCAGGGCATTTTTACTTCGGAGGTGAAAGTAGAAAAATTTAATTTCAATAAGAATTAATATTGATCAGAGACAAAATATTGAGAGGAACATGTGTAATTGAAGGAAAGTTAGAGCTATCCTAACCGTTCTCAAAGGGAAACTCACAGCAAATGAATCATCAAAAAAATCATACCATTGCAAAGGAATGCATTGATAATGTTGATTGTGTATCCAGACTCGCAGCTGCAGCTATAGCTGCCAATGGTGTTGTTGCAGATTTGTTGGCAGGATGATGTATTTGTTGCACATTCATCGATGTCTGGGAAAAGAATTGAACGTTCTCATTACAACATTACAACAGCAATGTTTGCAAAGTCAGAAAACCCAACACCAATTGAGGGCAATTTTATTCCTACGTTGAATTTACGATAATTTGAATGTGAATAAGAAATGAATATTGATGAGACACAAAATGCTGAGAGGAGACCGTGTGAATAAAGAAAGTTAGAGAATGTCCTGTCAGTATGCAAAGGCGAGCTCACAGCAAATCAATCAACACAAATAATTATTACCATCACAAAGGAGTGCATTGGTGCTGTTGATTATGAAGCCAGATTCACAGCTGCAGCTAAAGCTGCCATTGGTGTTTTTGCAGATTTGTTGGCAGGATGAAGCATTTCTTGCACATTCATCAATGTCTGAGAGATGAAATGAAGATGTTCATCAGAAGAACAGAAGTTTGCAACGTCAGAAAATGCAATACGAATTCAGGGCACTTTTACTTCGGAGGTGAAAGTAGAAAAATGTAATGTCAATAAGAATTAATATTGATCAGAGACAAAGTATTGAGAGGAACATGTGTAATTGAAGGAAAGTTAGAGCTATCCTAACCGTTCTCGAAGCGAAGCTCACAGCAAATGAATCATCAAAAAAAAATCATACCATTGCAAAGGAATGCATTGATACTGTTGATTGTGTAGCCAGAATCGCAGCTGCAGCTGTAGCTGCCAATGGTGTTGTTGCAGATTTGTTGGCAGAATGATGTATTTGTTGCACATTCGTCGATGTCTGGAAGAAGAATTGAACGTTCTCATTACAACAGCAATGTTTGCAAAGTCAGAAAACCCAATACGAATTGAGGGCAATTTTATTCCTACGTTGAATTTACGATCAATTCAATGTGAATAAGAAATGAATATTGATGAGAAACAAAATGCTGAGAGGAGAGAGTGTGAATAAAAGAAAGTTAGAGAATGTCCTATCAGTATGCAAAGGTGAGCTCACAGCAAATCAATCAACACAAATAATTATTACCATCACAAAGGAGTGCATTGGTGCTGTTGATTGTGTAGCCAGATTCGCAGCTGCAGCTATAGCTGCCAATGGTGTTGTTGCAGATTTGTTGGCAGGATGATGCATTTGTTGCACATTCATCAATGTCTGGGAAAAGGATTGAACATTCTCATTACAACAGCAATGTTTGCAAAGTCAGAAAATGCAACACGTATTGACTGCATTTTTATTTCTGATGCGAAGGTATAATAATTTGAATGCCAATAAGAAATTAATGATGATGAGCCACAAAATGACAAGAGGAGAGAGTGTGAATCAGAGAAATTTAGAGCATATCCTGTCAGTATACAAGGTGGAGATCACGGCAAATGAATCAAAACAATTAATTCATACCATCACAAAGGAATGCATTGGTGCTGTTGATTGTGTAGCCTGATTCGCAGCTGCAGCTAAAGCTGCCATTGGTGTTTTTGCAGATTTGTTGGCAGGATGAAGCATTTCTTGCACATTCATCAATGTCTGAGAGATGAAATGAAGATGTTCATCAGAAGAACAGAAGTTTGCAACGTCAGAAAATGCAATACGAATTCAGGGCACTTTTACTTCGGAGGTGAAAGTAGAAAAATGTAATGTCAATAAGAATTAATATTGATCAGAGACAAAGTATTGAGAGGAACATGTGTAATTGAAGGAAAGTTAGAGCTATCCTAACCGTTCTCGAAGCGAAGCTCACAGCAAATGAATCATCAAAAAAAATCATACCATTGCAAAGGAATGCATTGATACTGTTGATTGTGTAGCCAGAATCGCAGCTGCAGCTGTAGCTGCCAATGGTGTTGTTGCAGATTTGTTGGCAGAATGATGTATTTGTTGCACATTCGTCGATGTCTGGAAGAAGAATTGAACGTTCTCATTACAACAGCAATGTTTGCAAAGTCAGAAAACCCAATACGAATTGAGGGCAATTTTATTCCTACGTTGAATTTACGATCAATTCAATGTGAATAAGAAATGAATATTGATGAGAAACAAAATGCTGAGAGGAGAGAGTGTGAATAAAAGAAAGTTAGAGAATGTCCTATCAGTATGCAAAGGTGAGCTCACAGCAAATCAATCAACACAAATAATTATTACCATCACAAAGGAGTGCATTGGTGCTGTTGATTGTGTAGCCAGATTCGCAGCTGCAGCTATAGCTGCCAATGGTGTTGTTGCAGATTTGTTGGCAGGATGATGCATTTGTTGCACATTCATCAATGTCTGGGAAAAGGATTGAACATTCTCATTACAACAGCAATGTTTGCAAAGTCAGAAAATGCAACACGTATTGACTGCATTTTTATTTCTGATGCGAAGGTATAATAATTTGAATGCCAATAAGAAATTAATGATGATGAGCCACAAAATGACAGAGGAGAGAGTGTGAATCAGAGAAATTTAGAGCATATCCTGTCAGTATACAAGGTGGAGATCACGGCAAATGAATCAAAACAATTAATTCATACCATCACAAAGGAATGCATTGGTGCTGTTGATTGTGTAGCCAGATTCGCAGCTGCAGCTAAAGCTGCCATTGGTGTTTTTGCAGATTTGTTGGCAGGATGAAGCATTTCTTGCACATTCATCAATGTCTGAGAGATGAAATGAAGATGTTCATCAGAAGAACAGAAGTTTGCAACGTCAGAAAATGCAATACGAATTCAGGGCACTTTTACTTCGGAGGTGAAAGTAGAAAAATGTAATGTCAATAAGAATTAATATTGATCAGAGACAAAGTATTGAGAGGAACATGTGTAATTGAAGGAAAGTTAGAGCTATCCTAACCGTTCTCGAAGCGAAGCTCACAGCAAATGAATCATCAAAAAAAATCATACCATTGCAAAGGAATGCATTGATACTGTTGATTGTGTAGCCAGAATCGCAGCTGCAGCTGTAGCTGCCAATGGTGTTGTTGCAGATTTGTTGGCAGAATGATGTATTTGTTGCACATTCGTCGATGTCTGGAAGAAGAATTGAACGTTCTCATTACAACAGCAATGTTTGCAAAGTCAGAAAACCCAATACGAATTGAGGGCAATTTTATTCCTACGTTGAATTTACGATCAATTCAATGTGAATAAGAAATGAATATTGATGAGAAACAAAATGCTGAGAGGAGAGAGTGTGAATAAAAGAAAGTTAGAGAATGTCCTATCAGTATGCAAAGGCGAGCTCACAGCAAATCAATCAACACAAATAATTATTACCATCACAAAGGAGTGCATTGGTGCTGTTGATTGTGTAGCCAGACTCGCAGCTGCAGCTATAGCTGCCAATGGTGTTGTTGCAGATTTGTTGGCAGGATGATGCATTTGTTGCACATTCATCAATGTCTGGGAAAAGGATTGAACATTCTCATTACAACAGCAATGTTTGCAAAGTCAGAAAATGCAACACGTATTGACTGCATTTTTATTTCTGATGCGAAGTTACAATAATTTGAATGCCAATAAGAAATTAATGATGATGAGCCACAAAATGATAAGAGGAGAGAGTGTGAATCAGAGAAATTTAGAGCATATCCTGTCAGTATACAAGGTGGAGATCACAGCAAATGAATCAAAACAATTAATTCATACCATCACAAAGGAATGCATTGGTGCTGTTGATTGTGTAGCCAGATTCGCAGCTGCAGCTAAAGCTGCCATTGGTGTTTTTGCAGATTTGTTGGCAGGATGAAGCATTTCTTGCACATTCATCAATGTCTGAGAGATGAAATGAAGATGTTCATCAGAAGAACAGAAGTTTGCAACGTCAGAAAATGCAATACGAATTCAGGGCACTTTTACTTCGGAGGTGAAAGTAGAAAAATGTAATGTCAATAAGAATTAATATTGATCAGAGACAAAGTATTGAGAGGAACATGTGTAATTGAAGGAAAGTTAGAGCTATCCTAACCGTTCTCGAAGCGAAGCTCACAGCAAATGAATCATCAAAAAAATCATACCATTGCAAAGGAATGCATTGATACTGTTGATTGTGTAGCCAGAATCGCAGCTGCAGCTGTAGCTGCCAATGGTGTTGTTGCAGATTTGTTGGCAGAATGATGTATTTGTTGCACATTCGTCGATGTCTGGAAGAAGAATTGAACGTTCTCATTACAACAGCAATGTTTGCAAAGTCAGAAAACCCAATACGAATTGAGGGCAATTTTATTCCTACGTTGAATTTACGATCAATTCAATGTGAATAAGAAATGAATATTGATGAGAAACAAAATGCTGAGAGGAGAGAGTGTGAATAAAAGAAAGTTAGAGAATGTCCTATCAGTATGCAAAGGCGAGCTCACAGCAAATCAATCAACACAAATAATTATTACCATCACAAAGGAGTGCATTGGTGCTGTTGATTGTGTAGCCAGATTCGCAGCTGCAGCTATAGCTGCCAATGGTGTTGTTGCAGATTTGTTGGCAGGATGATGCATTTGTTGCACATTCATCAATGTCTGGGAAAAGGATTGAACATTCTCATTACAACAGCAATGTTTGCAAAGTCAGAAAATGCAACACGTATTGACTGCATTTTTATTTCTGATGCGAAGGTATAATAATTTGAATGCCAATAAGAAATTAATGATGATGAGCCACAAAATGACAAGAGGAGAGAGTGTGAATCAGAGAAATTTAGAGCATATCCTGTCAGTATACAAGGTGGAGATCACGGCAAATGAATCAAAACAATTAATTCATACCATCACAAAGGAATGCATTGGTGCTGTTGATTGTGTAGCCTGATTCGCAGCTGCAGCTAAAGCTGCCATTGGTGTTTTTGCAGATTTGTTGGCAGGATGAAGCATTTCTTGCACATTCATCAATGTCTGAGAGATGAAATGAAGATGTTCATCAGAAGAACAGAAGTTTGCAACGTCAGAAAATGCAATACGAATTCAGGGCACTTTTACTTCGGAGGTGAAAGTAGAAAAATGTAATGTCAATAAGAATTAATATTGATCAGAGACAAAGTATTGAGAGGAACATGTGTAATTGAAGGAAAGTTAGAGCTATCCTAACCGTTCTCGAAGCGAAGCTCACAGCAAATGAATCATCAAAAAAAATCATACCATTGCAAAGGAATGCATTGATACTGTTGATTGTGTAGCCAGAATCGCAGCTGCAGCTGTAGCTGCCAATGGTGTTGTTGCAGATTTGTTGGCAGAATGATGTATTTGTTGCACATTCGTCGATGTCTGGAAGAAGAATTGAACGTTCTCATTACAACAGCAATGTTTGCAAAGTCAGAAAACCCAATACGAATTGAGGGCAATTTTATTCCTACGTTGAATTTACGATCAATTCAATGTGAATAAGAAATGAATATTGATGAGAAACAAAATGCTGAGAGGAGAGAGTGTGAATAAAAGAAAGTTAGAGAATGTCCTATCAGTATGCAAAGGTGAGCTCACAGCAAATCAATCAACACAAATAATTATTACCATCACAAAGGAGTGCATTGGTGCTGTTGATTGTGTAGCCAGATTCGCAGCTGCAGCTATAGCTGCCAATGGTGTTGTTGCAGATTTGTTGGCAGGATGATGCATTTGTTGCACATTCATCAATGTCTGGGAAAAGGATTGAACATTCTCATTACAACAGCAATGTTTGCAAAGTCAGAAAATGCAACACGTATTGACTGCATTTTTATTTCTGATGCGAAGGTATAATAATTTGAATGCCAATAAGAAATTAATGATGATGAGCCACAAAATGACAAGAGGAGAGAGTGTGAATCAGAGAAATTTAGAGCATATCCTGTCAGTATACAAGGTGGAGATCACGGCAAATGAATCAAAACAATTAATTCATACCATCACAAAGGAATGCATTGGTGCTGTTGATTGTGTAGCCTGATTCGCAGCTGCAGCTAAAGCTGCCATTGGTGTTTTTGCAGATTTGTTGGCAGGATGAAGCATTTCTTGCACATTCATCAATGTCTGAGAGATGAAATGAAGATGTTCATCAGAAGAACAGAAGTTTGCAACGTCAGAAAATGCAATACGAATTCAGGGCACTTTTACTTCGGAGGTGAAAGTAGAAAAATGTAATGTCAATAAGAATTAATATTGATCAGAGACAAAGTATTGAGAGGAACATGTGTAATTGAAGGAAAGTTAGAGCTATCCTAACCGTTCTCGAAGCGAAGCTCACAGCAAATGAATCATCAAAAAAAATCATACCATTGCAAAGGAATGCATTGATACTGTTGATTGTGTAGCCAGAATCGCAGCTGCAGCTGTAGCTGCCAATGGTGTTGTTGCAGATTTGTTGGCAGAATGATGTATTTGTTGCACATTCGTCGATGTCTGGAAGAAGAATTGAACGTTCTCATTACAACAGCAATGTTTGCAAAGTCAGAAAACCCAATACGAATTGAGGGCAATTTTATTCCTACGTTGAATTTACGATCAATTCAATGTGAATAAGAAATGAATATTGATGAGAAACAAAATGCTGAGAGGAAGAGTGTGAATAAAAGAAAGTTAGAGAATGTCCTATCAGTATGCAAAGGCGAGCTCACAGCAAATCAATCAACACAAATAATTATTACCATCACAAAGGAGTGCATTGGTGCTGTTGATTATGAAGCCAGACTCGCAGCTGCAGCGAAAGCTGCCAATGGTGTTGTTGCAGATTTGTTGGCAGGATGATGCATTTGTTGCACATTCATCAATGTCTGGGAAAAGGATTGAACATTCTCATTACAACAGCAATGTTTGCAAAGTCAGAAAATGCAACAGGTATTGACTGCATTTTTATTTCTGATGCGAAGGTATCATAATTTGAATGCCAATAAGAAATTAATGATCATGAGCCACAAAATGACGAGAGGAGAGAGTGTGAATCAGAGAAATTTAGAGCATATCCTGTCAGTATACAAGGTGGAGATCACGGCAAATGAATCAAAACAATTAATTCATACCATCACAAAGGAATGCATTGGTGCTGTTGATTGTGTAGCCAGATTCGCAGCTGCAGCTAAAGCTGCCATTGGTGTTTTTGCAGATTTGTTGGCAGGATGAAGCATTTCTTGCACATTCATCAATGTCTGAGAGATGAAATGAAGATGTTCATCAGAAGAACAGAAGTTTGCAACGTCAGAAAATGCAATACGAATTCAGGGCACTTTTACTTCGGAGGTGAAAGTAGAAAAATGTAATGTCAATAAGAATTAATATTGATCAGAGACAAAGTATTGAGAGGAACATGTGTAATTGAAGGAAAGTTAGAGCTATCCTAACCGTTCTCGAAGCGAAGCTCACAGCAAATGAATCATCAAAAAAAATCATACCATTGCAAAGGAATGCATTGATACTGTTGATTGTGTAGCCAGAATCGCAGCTGCAGCTGTAGCTGCCAATGGTGTTGTTGCAGATTTGTTGGCAGAATGATGTATTTGTTGCACATTCATCGATGTCTGGAAGAAGAATTGAACGTTCTCATTACAACAGCAATGTTTGCAAAGTCAGAAAACCCAATACGAATTGAGGGCAATTTTATTCCTACGTTGAATTTACGATCAATTCAATGTGAATAAGAAATGAATATTGATGAGAAACAAAATGCTGAGAGGAGAGAGTGTGAATAAAAGA